CACATGATGCACTTGGATCACCACAGTTCATAAAGCATCCCATATTTTCTGCCAATACTCCTTCCCCCACACCTCCTTGGTCCTTATTTTGTATTCATCATGCTGCCATTTACCTAGCCAATTCACCAGCCCTTGCACCACTGCCCAGGAATCTGTAAATAGATAACATATTCTTCCCTCCAGGGTCGCGTCAATGATTTGCCAGGCTGCAACCAATTCTGCCAACTGACTACTGCCTGAGGTTCCCTACATTGCCAAGCACGTTTTGGTAGTGGGATTAAATGTCACCGTGTGCCTCTTCTTAGTACCATTACTACTTCCATCTGTGAATCAGGCAGTCTCGCACTGCTCATTTGTCAACTCCTCATAAGGGGGACCTCATCTGGCAGTCTGGTAATTTACTTGTTCACAGTTTAGTGGTCTGGGGGCCCCAGTCATTCTGTCACTTACCAATTTATGTAAATACTGCACTCCTTTTGGTCCCCACTTTGCCTGCTCTTGTATGTGCCATCTCATTTTTTGTATAGTGGTTTCCTGGGAATGTCCTATCTTATGAGTGGAAGGATTGCTTAGGAGCCAAGTCATAATCAGACTCTCTGTCCTAAGCAACACTTCATGACTGGAAGTATGAGCTTCAGTATCCTCTAATTCCCAGTACATGGCTAACAACTGTTGTTCAAAGGTGGTATATCATGTGGCAGCCCCACTTAATTGCCATAACCAGAAGTCAAGGGGCTGATGCCAACCATCTTGAAGCTGCCATAACCTCCATAAAACTACCCCTTGACTAATTGAGACGTGCAACTCAATGGGTCCTGGCAACAATGGGTGCAATTCCATTTGTTCAGTCACTAGGGCTTTCACTGCTTCAAAATCCTTTTCCTACTTGGGTCCTCATTCCCATTCTGCCTTTTTCCTCACCAGTTTGTGGAAAGGTTTAAGTAAGGTAGCCAACCCAGGTAACTGAGTCTGCCAAAATCCCATGGCCCCTAAGACTTGCTGAATTTGTCATTTCGTTTCCGGGGTGGGCTACCAACGTCTTCCAAGCTTGTTCTGGCATCTGCTGCACACGAACACTCCCTGGCCTGCTCCAGACCCAGGTGCACTATCAGCAATTCTTCTGTTTTGTTGGTTTTTGTTTTTCTTTATCTACATAGTGGGAACAGGATGGCTTGCAGTTCCCATGTCTCCCCCTTTCCTACTCTCCCCTGAACTCCTGAGCTGCTTTATCCAAGCCCAGCCCTGGTAAATCCCTTAACTTGCTTAGCTTTTCAATTACTTGTTCAATGGGGTTTCCTTGTTCTGATACTAGTATGGGGTTGGGGTTTTGTTTTTTTGGTTTTTTTTCTTCCTTTTTTTTTTTTTTTTTGTTTTTTTCTTCCCATCCACCCTGTCCAGCGATATAGTATCTGCTCCTTCCTCCATGAGATGAACTGGACAGTTCTGGGGTTCCTCCCCTGGCCTTTGCTTGTATTTATCCAGTAAGTTACTAATCTCCTCTGAACTGTAGTCTGTCAATTCATCTGTTCTTACTTGTCTATTTCCCTGCTAATTATCTTACATTTTAAACATAGGAGATGTGCTGGTTCCTTCCTTTTTCACATCTGCCTCGTCTCTGGTATTTGATTCTGACTCACTGGTATCCCAAATATTCCATATCTCTGGGTCCCAATCTGGCTGGGTTACTACTGCTCATTAACATGGTCGTGTATCCTCACTGGGCTTTGGGAGTCTCCGCCACAGCCGTGCAGCCCGCACAGCATACGATGTTGCTAATTTCCCTAGTTTGGTTTTTTTTCCCTGCCACCCTGATGCTGCTTGAGTGGTGACTAATAAAGCTTGTGGTTGCGCTACCCCTCCCGCTTCTTCAGTTAGCATTTCTTGTTTCAACCAATCTATCTGTTCCTCCGAGCCTTGGATTCACCCCCAGGTTATTTTAAACACACTAAGCAGCAGGGCTCCTCCCATGTGCCCAGCATCTTGCAGGCCCTTTTTAGGCTTTGCTTGTGGTGTCTCTACAAACTGTCCCCAATACTTCAACAGATTGAGAAGGCATTTTTTTGTGGTTTTTTTTTTTTCTTCTTCAAGTCGCTCACCCTGCACTGCAGCGGGTACAAACGCCCACCTGCTCAGCTGCAGCTATAAATGCCTGCCCGTCAGTTACAGCTGCCCTCCTGCTCAGCAGCAGCCGTAAATACCTGCCGGCAACTGCACTTTTGCATTAACCCTTTCTTGCCCGGAATGTTAATCTGCTATCTGTTAAAAACTTCTATGTGAGCCTGACAACAAAAAAATACACAGAGCACCCTCTTTTATTGCAGCTACACACTTCACTGACCAAACCCTGCCCACAACATGCCCAAACAAGAGATCCCACAAGCACACTCCGCACAACTACAATACTTGAAACACAAAATCCAGTCAGTACTCTCTACGGGGCCCCACATACAGGATGTGGTGCAATCCAGTTGCGGTGCCCGCAGCCCCAGATACAGAACATGGCACTATCCAATTATCTGTGCACCAACCACCCCCCTCCCCTCCGCCCCCCCCGACCCCGCACATAGAATGAGGCACAATCCAGAAGCTGTGCACCCTCACTACACAGCCCCAATACACAGCGGGGCAACTTTGTAGTAATACATGGCATAACCTGGTAGCGGTGCACTCCGATACCCAGCCCCACTAATTCTTTATACCCAACTATTTATCTCACGCCCTCTCAGACCTGGAATTCCACCCTCGCTGCCATCTATGTTCCAAAGTTCAAGGATTCCAGGGGAGAGAAAATGAGAGACAAATTGAGAACTCACAAATAGTTTATTAACATAGGAAAATGTAGAGACTCTAACAGATACAGTAAACAATACTTCCAAAGAGTGTATACATTACCAACCCCAAGGACCCTGTGAAGACAATCAGGAAACCAGCACCCAGGATCATCATCGCAGTGTGAGGAGGCAGGCTCTACCGTGGCGGGCGTGCCTCCGGAGGCAATGTTGACCTGGATGGCATGAAGTTCTGTGACTTTGCATCGCATGAGGCTCAGGCTTTTAGACTGACAAAACTGCACACTCATTCTGACGCAAGGGGCCAGCCTATGTCGGAAGAAGTGGTCCACAATATCTAGAAAGGTCTCCAAGAGTCAAGACTTTTTCGGGGAGTTCTAAACTGGAACTTCCCAGGTAGGAACCAAAGCTGGATTTTCCCAGTAGGAACCAAAGCAGGACACACCGGAAGAAGGAGGGGGGAGCCACCACTAACCATCACCTCACATGTTACGCTTGCCTGCCTAACACTATCTCTTATGACAGTGGCAAGATTTAGTTCCACCTGTGCCTTCGCTTTTCTGACTTTCTCTCTACATAACCTAACATCCTTGTACTGACTGGTGTCAGTCTCTTCTTCCACAGGTGATAAATTCTCTTTTTTTTTATCCCCGAGTTCCAGCAATATTTCCCAATATCTCCCTGTTCACCCAGGCTGGTCTTTCCTGCTGGTTTGATTTTCAGGACATAGGGCATGCCTGCTCCTGCGCCTTAAGGATTTCATTTTTTAAGAGTGTCCAGCCTTTCTGGACCCCTTTTGTCCTTCAGTAAAGTTTCCCAAGGAATTCTGCCAAGCAGCATCCTAAACAGGCCAAAATGAGCCCTCCAGACATCTAAGGTGGAGGTTTTGCTGACCTACCAGAATATCTGCTTGGTTGGCCTTCTTCCTGATCTTTACCCACACATTAAGCCTTCTCACTCAACGTTGATTTCAAGGCAGTCAATGCACTCCCTGACATGCAATGCAACCTCCCCACCTCTTTTTCCTTGCCTATCCCTTCTGAAGAGCCTGTAGCCATCCATTGCAGCACTACTGTCGTGGTTTAAACCCTAGCCAGCCAGCTTGTTCACTCACTCCCAGTGAGTGGTGCCGGGCTGAGAGCAATCGAGGCCCCCCCCTCCCCCCCCCGGGGCTCTCCCTTTCCCCGCTCCCGGTGGAATGGGGAGGAGGATCGAAAGAGTGCAACTCCCACAGGTTGAGACAAGAACAGTCCAGCAACCAATGTACAACACAAATCACCACTGCTACTACCAATAACAACAATGATAAAGGGAATAACAAGGGAAGAGAATACAACACCTCATCACCAGCCGACCGATAACTCGCCCCCCCCAACCCGACCAAGCACCGACCCATACCTCCTCCAACCCCGCAGTCCCAGCCCTTCCGGGTAACTCTCAGTTACCTCCTGGGCATGATGTGCTGTGGTGTGGAATACCTCTTTGGCTAGCTTGGGTCAGGTGTCCTGTCTCTGCTTCCTCCTGGCTTCCCCTCCTGCCTGGCAGAGCATGAGGCTCACAAAGTCCTTGGCCAAACCAAAACATCATTGTTATCAGCTCTGTTCCCAGGCCGAAAGTCAAAACACAGCACTGCACCAGCTACCAAGAAGGAGAAAAATGACTGCTACTTCTGAACCCAGGACAACTACAGTCATGCGAATCATTCCACCACGTTTCTGTGGTGGCGATTATGTCATGATTTCCCTGCTGCACAATGGCTTCCAGCTCCTCCTGTTTGTTGTCCATGCTGTAGGCATTGGCATAAATGCATTTAATTTGCCCTGTATATCTGGACTTCAACAGCAGCATGCTACTCCATGGCTCATTTTTAGCGAGCCTGGTGTTATCCCCTTCCCCCTTCAAACCTAATTTAAAGCCCTCTCTATAAGCCCTGCTAGCTCCTGGGCTAGAAACCTTTTGCCCCTTTGGTACACACATACCCTATGTGCTGCCAGCAGGCCTGGCACTGTATAGACTGACCTATGATCAAAACCCCAAAAATTCTGGTGCTGATACCAGTCATAGAGCCACAAATTAATTAGTGAGATTTTTCTGATGTAAATATTGTTATTGATTGTGACTGGCAGGAGGGTTGAGAACACTACTTGGGCTCCCGAACCCTGAACCAGTTGCCCTGAAGTCCATTAATCAGATTCTTGGCCAAACTCAAAACAGTTTGAAGAATATACTTTATTATAAAAATGTGCAACTATCCATATTAGGCAGCATTTTATATTACAATCATTGGAGGAGTCAGTCAGGTGTTTGCTATTCTTCTGTCTTTGCTCATGTCTTAACAGAACCAGGTAGTCATGCTTTACAACTAAGTTAGACAGGTGGAATAATAGTAACTTCCATATGAGACATTAATAAACTGTTATTTTTATGAATGTAATATTAAAAGTAGGAGTAATGCTTGCAAAGCACACCTAAGTAGTTTTGGTAGTTAGAAATGAAAACTTGTGAGTTTGTTCCATTGTGGAAATCCAAAGGCAATACGGTCAATGTGAGAATTTGTTATTCAGAATATTAAACATTAAAATGAATGGTTGGATAGAAATGTTTTCCTATGATTGTAAATGCACCACTTTGAATAATGTTTATTGGCAAAATACACGGTAGCAGTAATTTAAAAGTAAAAATCATTCAAAGAGTTTTGTGGAGAATGTGCAGTCTGTGCAGCCAGTCTGGCACTGATAAACAGCCCAGGCTGCTGCTTATATCTCACTCACAGAAAGCTTCCCTTGCCCTCACTGCTGCCTGTCCTTGAGCTCCTCAAAGCCTTCTTTCAGAAGGGTAAAGGAAAAATTATCAAATTTATGCCTTTAATAAACCAAGCATTTTGGTGTTCTGCAACAATGAAAGAAATTATGAGTTTTAACAGCTGTGTGAACCTTGCTTGTGAGAGAAGTATGCAGAACTCATGAAATGTAGAGTAAGGGTGGTTTAATGTAAAGCTTTTGAGAAGAAAAAAGGTAGCGTGAGTCAATGAAATGATGGTCAGCCTTTGAATCACATGAATTGTGTCACTCTTTTAAGTCAGAAGGATGGATTTCCACCGAGTTTGTTGATGAAGGAGCAAAATCTGGCTTTTGGTATAACAATAAAGTAATATGCAGACAATGTTTATGTCAGGTTTTTCTGCAGCTGATTTTGCATCATTACTGCTTTGTTCTTTCATCCCACAAATGCCACTTCTGCTGCTGGTAGAAGTATTCAGGACCTATGTGAATGGGGCTGTTTTGTCATTGCAAATGTACACAGGGTATTGGTAGGAGTTGACCTTCATCACTGCAGCTATGTACCAGGGTGTGCTACAGTGCTACTCTTGGGTCTCTCCAAAAAAAACAGAAGAATTGGCTGAGAAAAGCTCTATTTTGAAGTTGTTAGTTACACATGGTTCAAACCAACTTGAAGCAGATACTGCAGTTGTGTGTCCACATGCAACCTTAATTTTTTGCCTTTTTACATTTGCTAAGGACTCAAGCTGTTGTTGGCTGGGTTAATGCTGTACGGAGCAGACTCACAGACATTGTAGAGGTGTAAGCTTTACTCCTTGTGGTGTAGTTAAAAGATTTTCTCGTGTCAGCTTTGCTCTTGAACTGGTGCTGTGGAATACTTACTCTAAGCGGCTTTTGTAAGCACTTACTGTGTACAGAAGCTGCCAGTTCCTGAGCGGGCTCACAACATGGTCAGACCAGCATGCTGCTCTCACTGAAAGAGCTCCCCACTTTTTTTTTTCGATATGGTTCCACAGGCAGATGCTCCTTGTGATCGAATTTGCTGCCTAGGGAAGCAAGTTTTGCATCAGGTGACAGCTTAAACCCTGGTTGCTTAAGGTAGAATGTAGGTCTCCTCTAGTGGCTTAGCTTAGACCACAGTCTATCAGATGATTTAGCTTGCTTTTAATTTGAAACACAGTTATTACTAGCTTAATTCTGGTTTGTGTCCACCCTCTGTTGTCCTACAAATGGATTATTTGTACTCCACAGGTGCTCAGACAAGTAGTGGATGGCTGTGGGCCTGGAAGCTCTAGGGCCACATTTCCACAGTGCTGTTGATCCAGCTGCTTAACATGTAGCCCAGCCACCTGTGTCACTGACCTGTCTTTTCTTCATCATACCTTTAGTCTTCTTCATACTATATGTGCCTTCAGTCTAATTTAAGTACTCTTGATACTCCATGTGGGTTTTGTTTTACGCTGGGTATCCCAGGATAAAACTTTCAGCTCACTTATGTGAAAGTTGACTGTAAACAACTAAATTGAACACATGCATAACATAATATATATTCAGTTTCTTTGAAACTTAAAGGTCAGGAGTGTACACAAGTGCTCTGCTTATTTGTGGCTATTTGGCATTAGGCTGTATTTGAAAGAACAGATTAAACAATGGGCAAAAGTGACAAAAGCATAACTCTCTGTAGTGCACTTGCTATATACATTCTTATGAAAAACTAAAATGCAAGTTAAATACATACTTATTTTATTCCAGGCTATAGAATAAGTGTATTTAGGCAGTTTTTCAAAGTGTATTGTACACTGCATGCACAATAAATCAGCTTAATTGCTTGACTGTTTTACAATTTGTGTTCAAAGAACTGTATGATAGGCAATGAGATCATGTTATGGCATGACTTGTCCATTTGGACCGTATCAATTTTTTGATTAAAAAATTTGAGAAACCCAAACTGATAAAGTGTATATTAAACATTTTAATATGAGCATATGCTCCAAGAAAGAAAAGTCACGTTACATTCAATTTTTAAATCCCTCCAAATGGAGGATTTAAAACAAGAAATTTTGAACGTGATTTCATTGCAGTATTACACTGAAGATTGGTGTAATATTTTTCACAATGATGTAACAGTTTTTAAATACAGATTTTGGAATCTTATGCTAGAAATTAAGATAATATTTTAGGGCCCACACATCTACCTTTAAAACTGTCCTTGAAAGGATGACTTGTCTATGTCGACAGGAACTTCTACCTGTGTGAAATATCTTATAAAGATAGCTTATGACTAGCAGGTCACCATCAAATAGTAACATTAAGAATATTAAAGTCTACGTTTGTAAAGACCTATGCATGCAGTTTTGTCCCATACACATTGTTTAGATGTGTGGACTTAAAGTTATTGTGCCTCAAACACCAACAAACTTGAAATTACACTATGTAAATATATACATATATGATGCTGTATATGTTTAGTACCACAGTAAATACAACTGTAATCAAATGATACTAGACATATGTAGGACCATAAGTACCAATTTTTTTAAAAAAGGCAGAAAAAAAAATCATTTATTCTAACAATATTTCACAGTAGAAGGAGGCAGTCCTTTCTCAGTGAATCCCGACCCCCCCCCCCCCAGTATTTGTAAACATCATAACTATTATTCTATCAGTATAATAATTGAATAGTTTATTCATAATGGTAAGTAGCTAACCAACATGAATAAAGTTGTCATAACACAGTAACACTTTCAGACAAAACAGGTATTTATTAAAAGAAACATTTATAAATATTTTGTCTTGCATTTTAAACTACATTTTCATAAATAACAATATTTAAAAGTGCTGAATATGGTAGGATAGTCAGCAACGCCACTGTAAACAGATTTTTTTTTCCACTTTGAAGATTATTTTTTGTTTAGATCCCATTTTGTCAAACACTACAACAGTTAAAATATTTGCATAGGGAATAGAGAATAGCCCTTTTAATCATCTCCTGAATTCTATATAAATTACAAAACCAAATGAGTTTAAGAAACAGTTCATTAAATTGTTCGTATATATATCCAAAAAAAGCACACAGGTTTCAAGTAAAAAGAATGATTAAAAAATTCCCCAGACTTGCTATTTGAAGCATGTTCAATAAATTAAAAAAATGAGAGGTAGTAAAACAAAGAAAAAAAAAATAAGCCCCAGAAGATAAACTAAGACCTGCATCCTACCAGTTACTGTATAGCAGCAGACCTGCCTCAGCAGCAGTGGCTCCAGGGAGAGCTGTCACTGAAGGCTGCCTGCAAGGAGTAACTGGGGTTTGGAGCCAGGTGTGTTGGGGCTAGATTCCACTCGAGGACACAACTGCCAGACCTTCCAGTCCCATCAAAGCAACGGACTTATGCCATGTTTAGTCCTATATAAATGAGAAGAACCTTGCTTCTTAAGTCTTAGTATAAGACCAGAGTTGTCAGTATTAAATATATATATACACACATACAAACATACATACATATATATATATTTAACAAGTATTCAAAACCATTTCTTGGTCTATCTTTAGCAGTTTATGAGGGATGCTAATACTCATTTTGCTTGTTTATAGTAGGAATGAAGATTTTTTTAAGTTCTGCGTCACTGTCTCTTTAAACATCAAAATGCGTCCTAAAATTGGACATTTTTTGATAAAAAGTCCAAGCAAACACCTGTTAAAAACACCACGGAAGCCAAGTGATGGGGGTACCGTGCTGCCTTAGCTCTGATTATAAGGGCTCAGTACAGGATTCTTTACCCAAGAAAGACACCTGTTGCATTTCTGTAGGCATTTTGCTTGGGTAAGGACTGTAGGTTTAGGAGCCCTTGAAGTTTGGTTTAATATTAGTCTCCAAACCCCTTGTTTTCAAGGAGCTACTCAAAATCAGTCAGGCTACAAGTTAAGATAAGTCTTCTAACCCACCACCTTGTAAAACATTACTTTGTTTAAAAACATTTTTTACTGGATTTAGCTTTCAAAAAAAATATTTTGCAGGACAGATGCAATTCATCAAAATGTTCTAAAATGCTCTAAAATGCTACATGTAGGCAATCTTTTATTAAATTTCTTTATTCAAAAAACTAAATTATCAAGCTTTTCGTGTTTTTTTGTTTTTTGCTGAAGTACATAACATTATACAACAGTGTTAGAACTGGATAGCCAGTCTTTAATAAATCAATTACAGTATCTGACATCTGAAAAGTACATTGAAAATCTTTGTTCTTTTAACAATTAAACAATATCAGCGCATAGATTGTGTCACCCAGATATGGATCCCTTTAAGTGATTTGTGCTTTTTTTTTTTTTGCTTTTTTTTTTTTTGCTTTTTTTGACATTGCAAACTCTGTAATGAAAATGCCACAGTTTTGGCAGTGAACAACCAGAGGAATCCTCCACTTGATTTATTTTAAATAAACAGTGATAAATAGCTCTTTTTTTCTGTACAGAAATACTGGCTTCAAAAAATCAGTGTATTGTACTCAGTAGAGAGTGTTGAGTAATGCTACACCTTAAAAATTGGCTTTTTTCAGTTAGTGATGTTAAAAAATGCAAGCCTCTTTGCTGCAATTGTTTCTATGTACCATAAGACTGTATTGCACAAAAAAAGTTCTTAAATACAGATATAATTTATGTTATTGGATTAAATATTGCAACAACTAAGTGGTAAGTGAAGCAGTTTTACCTTGCACATGCAGTGTGAGGATACACAAGGAGACTGTTCATAAAACTACAAATACATCATTGCAATCTTGACTGCAGTAGGGTGAAAGGAGTGCGAAACAAATGTATTTTGGCAAATCCACTGTTCCCCTCCCATGCCATCTCAAGCAAGGAGAACCTTGGTAAAAATGTAGACAGAGACCATAATATGTATTTGTTTTCTTCACAGTAGCCTGAGTAGTTCTAAACTGCAGTTCTCCAGGAACCCAGCTCCAGATGTTACTAAACTACTTTTCTTCCATCCCACCCACCCAAAAAAAAAAAAAAATCAAGTTATTCTCTTTGAAAATTAAAACTAAGTTTCAGAAGTAGAGCCTGTAATACTTTCAACAAGAGACTTATAAATCTGAGAGTTCAAAAACCTTGGAAAAGAGTCCCTATGCATTAGGGTGTATATCTGGAGTTGGGCATCTTCATACATGTGAGGGCTGGGATCCAGCAAGTTTCTGTTGATCACTTCTCTCACCCGGGAATCAAGACTAACCTGAAGAAGATGAGAACAGACTAATGTTAAACAGTAATATCAGAAAGGCTGTTGTATGTATCTTTATTTCTCAGGGTACCATTGAACACCCTGAGTTTATTGGTTTATTCAAGCAATGCCTTATGATTCTTTCAGAGCCACCACGCAATTACAGATTGAGCCCATCAACTCTCTTTTAGTTTTAACTTAGTCTGTGCATCCATCTTAAGATCTGTAAGATGAAATGCAGCTGTATAATAGAATAAATACAGTGCAGCTAAATAAATAGCTACAGTAACCTGTATTTCCCCAAATATGTTATTTTACATTAAAAAAAAATTACATGTTTAAAATTACTTCTCAGAAATGAATAACTCTCATTCAGAGAACTGAAATGTTTTTTCCTGACCACTTGTGGTTAAATCTTTAGAAGCTTTCTATTCAGCACTCTCATTTGGCTGCCCTATAGATATTTCCCCCATTTTTTTTTCAGGCACTTACACTTATTACTCTCAAATTATCTGGAGTTTTTAATCATTGTTATTGTGCTAATCTCCCCATTAATCTTAAATATTTCAGATATGTTCTTTCCAAGACTCTCTAACATCTGGTGATTTATAGGATTAATACTTTCAGGATATCATGTATCCATACTGAAGTTGTTAGCAAGTGTCTATTTTAGCTTCATATTTACTTTCCATTTGTAATGAACTCCTGTGCTTGGGCAGAAAAGGCCATATTATTCTTGGGATGAATGTACAGATGATTTTAGAATATAATTTAGAAATTTGAATGAATGTACAGCTTATCCACAAAATTCTCTAAACTCCGTAAAATTAATGCCTTCTGGATTAAATGAAATGGCAGTAGCAGAAAAGCCCACTGGGGCCAGCAAGGGTTTACTCAGCTAAGAAGAAAAAGGCTAAAACAGAGCAGAGAAATACCAAGCATTGATGAGTTAAGCTACTATGATTTATACCAGGTTGCAATCTGACCTTACTACTCTGCAGCCTTAAAAATACATATTCATATTGTCTGAAGGATTGAGTTCACATACCAAGATACTTTGAGATATGAAGGAGGCTGAGATGAGAACTCATAACACGTGTGCATGTGTGAGCTTGTGGTTTTTTAAATATGGTGAAGTAAGTATTTGAAATACAGTGGTATGATATGGTACTGAGTAGCAAATATACATTTTTATTACATTTTCAATATCAACTGTAAAATCTGGCATTGTTGGTTTGTTGGCATGCTGGATTATGCTATTGCCACATCAGGCAAGCTCTTTCTCCTCCAGTATTTGCTGTTACTTGATTATCAGTCACAAGTCACAACTATGATGCAGGCTAACTGTCAGTAAATTGTTGCTTATTCATGCTAGCAAACCATAACTATTACTCAAGTACTCTCTCCCTGCAGAACAGCTATTACACCTGCTTAATGCACACTGTCCATCTAAGTTCACAGTTCTGTGCCTGCACACAGCACCCTGGGGTCCCTTCTGTATGTCTCCATTATGGATCAGCTGTGGTGCATCAGCTGCTGTGAACAATCTCCCTGCCTTCCCACCCCAGTTCTTGCCTTGGTCTGGGCAGCTCCACAGCTAGCTGAGTTAAGGAATCGATCCATCTGAAAATGGCATTTCTTTTCTGGGCTGTTTTTCAACCCAGGCATTTTTCTCATTGAATTCATTGACTAACATAGCTGTGGAAGCAGACCGGACTGCACAGCAGGAATGAAGAGACCAGTGGGGCTGCTCGGCCAGTGACTGCCAGCATTTAGACACAACAGCAAGCGAGGGTGTAATGTTATGTTGGTTTTGAGAAGCAGTGTTGCAGCCACGTGTCTTGGAAATTTATTTGAATAGATTTAAATCCTAGACCATTGAATTTCTGCAGCACAGAAATGGCACACTAAGATTTAAGCAATTCTTCCCCTGACACAGATATACACACATGTATCTTAGCAAAACTAATTTATGCAGCTAGCTAATTGGTTCTTTATTATGAAATGTAACAGCTGGGATAAAAACCTCAAATTTGGTAGGATGGTGGGGTTTTGTGCCATTGTACATAACAAAAGTTAGTTGTACTTACAGAATTTAAAAAAATTAATTTTGGAAATATTAATTTACATCATACTTTTTCAGTGACTGAAGCCAGATGGCAAAACTAGTTGGAGTTACTAAAGGTATTTCCTTACTAAATAGATGAATACAAGGTATCTGTTTAGAGCACTAAGAGCTTCTGCCTCAATAACTTAATTACTGAACAAGTGATCCTAAATATTTCAGCTCTTATGCCAGAAGAGAACATCTGGAACAGGATGCCTGGATGAACAAGAACTTTTCAGCTTCAGTGCTAATCTAAAGCATGGCAAAGAGTTCTTGTTTGCCTCATAAGATTTCCAGTAGGGGCAGGAGCAACTGGATTGATGACATCCGCATCAGTAAGTAGTTTTGTTAAATCCCAAGTCAAACAACATGCAGTGTTTGAATTTTAACTGCTAGCAATCTTAGCCTAAAAAGACAACTGAGCATTCAGCACATACATATGTACTAGAGATATTAAATGATAAGAAAAAGTAATTATTAGCTTGCTGTACTGGCTGTTATCTCATTCCAAAGCAGAAGTATACCCTATGCCACAAGAGAAAGTAATGGAGCTGTTGGCTTCATTCATATGAATGAAATTGCAAATTATTACCAAAAGCAGTGCAGAAATAAAATGTAGGAAGCAAGGTCCACAGTGAGCATAAATTAGCATAATACCATTGAGGTAAAAGTCAGGTGCCATGCACAGAGTCAAGGCAAAGGGAGCTAAGTACATGACTTGGCTTAAGAAAGACTCTTCTATAGTGCTTATGCATTTTTATCTATCTCCATTCCAAAACGTGGTTTGATAGTGGATGCTTTTTCTTTCCTCCAGGTGAAGATAATTCCAGAATTTGTCTATTTCAATTTAAGGGTTGATGAAAATCTTACCTAAATTCCTAGATATTATCATACCTTTCATTATAGAAAATGATGTGGTCTCCATTCCTGGACTCTCATATAGGAATAACCACTTCAGATTTGGATTTTCTCCCAGACAGCTGTTGCAGCAGATAAATCTATCATTATTCTGATTTAAATTCCTTAATTTTGGTGCCTTTTCTCCAGAAATCCATTTTCATTACTTCTCTCTCTGGCCGGCATGTTCCATTACTAAAGAAGCATACCTATTTCTCAGCCTTCTCTTACCAGAGTTTCTTGAGTCTTACAGAGAACTTTGAGGTGGTGTGGCCAGTGATGCTAAATGGCCTGTGACCTCTGTCTCTACTTTGCGTGTCCTTTTCTTTCCTGATTTAATGTCCGTACTAAGACTTTCCTCTGACAGATCAGGCAGGCTTTCAGACCCCTATCTGACAATCCAGGTATAACATTTCTGCTCTGGAACAACAGAAATTGTACATGTAACATTTACAGCTTTACCTCTTTTGGTGATAGTATAGAGATGTAATCTTCATATATAAGTCTTGCTTTTTCTTCAATAACTTTCTTGTTCTGTTCCTTCTTTAGATCTTCACATGCAAGCCAGAAAAGCAGGTTCTCCTCACTATACTCTGTTCGAAGAAACTCTCTGAAAAGGTTTCTCCCAGCTGGTGTTTTCATCATCTTGTCAAAATTCTGAGCCCAAGACAAAATTTCTTCTGCAGTAGGGTTTTGGCTGCAAAAGCATAGTATCATTACAAATATGCTTCTATTTTTGTAACAGTATTTTAATATATTTGTCCAAAAAAATTCTCATTTCAACTGCACTTTAGTCCAGAGTGAAAACTGGATGCAACAGGGCTTCAGCAGTGACAGAAGGATTTTGTTCACTCTTCACTTGTGCATTCATTATCTCAATAGCCCACTAAAAGTGCTTAATACTACAAGACATGCACTTGGCTTTCTACAAGTTTTCTATTAGTGTTATTAGCCATCAGACTCAAAGACAAAATCCCATAACAGCATTGGATTCCTGCCTCTTCAGTTAAAGGAGATGTAATTTCAGGGAGCTGGCAACAGACTTTCTTTCATAGAATCTCTTTTTTTAGATGATACCTGATGTCCCCGCCTGCTCCTGATGGTTCTTGGCCAGCCACTAGTTGCCGTATGGTTTGGTTCAGGAAGGACAAGAAAAACAAAAGTCTCTTGGCAGCCAAGAGCATACTAATGAGGTCCAACAAAATAGTAATTCAAAGAGCTTTTAAATTAGCATATTTCTCTGTGCTTGTACCTAAGGGTTGCTAAGTTTCCCTCTGTTTGGTGCTATTGACCTGAATGATGATCCATTGGCATGAGATGTGATGGATGTTGCTGGCAAAACTGGATAGAGAAGAAATGGGAAAAAGTCCTTATTCCCATTTTCTGAAGGAAACTTTGTGGCTTCTAACAGACAGCACACTGGATAAGTGATCAGAAGACTAATGCGCATCACTGATTCATTAATGTACCAATTAATAGCTTGAGAAGGTAATACTCCAAGTTACTTAACAACAATTAAATATGATTTCTAAACTTAACTCTGAATGCTCATCCTCTGCTTCCCGATAAGATCCAACACAAGAGATTTACTAGCTATTGTTAACAGATTCTGTGTAATCGTGTTGTACAATAAGTGATACTTCTCTATATTTCTCATTAAGGCCATTTAGCAGCTCCTACTCTGCATGCAAGGCAGACTGGATGATGGCAAACTATTTGTAGTAACATTTTGGCAGTCCAGAAGATCTAATAAATGATAAAGTGTTTAACATTTAAACTATCCAGCAAAATAATTGTAATTCAAACCAGAAAGTATTAACATACAGAATTGAAGGTGAAAAGTCCTCTCTCTGAGGACAGTGAAAAGAACCTGCTGAGGTGGATGGAGCTGACAAGCAACTTGTGATCCCTCATTGTCTAAGGGGAAGCTCTTTTCACTATTTTGTGGAAATTTCGCTATTTTGTGGAAAGTATTTTGTGGAAATTTCTGACATTGTCCTCTTATAAATGACCATCACTAGCAATGAAGATGAGTTGTTTGAGTTTCTTTTTTCCATCAATCATATCCTCTAGAGCTGAGTTTTAATTTACTCTTCATGGGATCAGAGAAATCAAAGCCACTGATAGGTTAGCATTTTTTCCAACACAAAAAACATGGGCTCAAGCTTTAGACAAAAATAGAAGCTTAGACTTTTGGTGTGTATTAGCCCATTTTTCAAGGTATGTGTTTCCTTGGTGTATTCTAATGAAACCATAGCCCAAGATGTTTTATGAAAAATAGCCATATTCAAAATCCAACTGTGAAGTATGCTTGTGTCCATTAGTTTTTGTTTGGACAAACAGAAGAAAATGATCCTACAGGTCTATGGAATCATGCATGTACCTCCCATTCCTCCCTGCAGCTCTTCCCCACAAATAAGAAGCTGTAAGTAAGCCAGCCTTATGAATATCTCTGCTGGCATTTCACTGTAAGGACAGATTTGGCTTCTTTTTGTACAGATTTTTTTTTTTTTTTGAGGAAAAGTAATTAAAAGGACATTCTGGAAGCATAAAATATAAGTCAATTCTTGATATTAATTATAGGCAAATAAAAACATATACTAGACAACTGTTTGACCAACTTACCATTCTTCTATGACTTGGATACTCTCCATTTTGGTTGTATGTGTTGGCCTTCCTGCATTGTCTCCTCTGTCTTCATTCCTAACAGTGAGGCTGCAATGTAGTACAACACTTTATTTTGTCTAGAGAAAGTTAATTTAAAACAATGACTACAGTAATGAAGACTTTTAAAAGATATAAACCTATGTAAAGTGGTTCATTTTCCACTCTTCCCCCTAAAATTTTGGAGACAAATTTTAACTACTTTTCTCCTTAATTCTGATAAATAGCAATTAACAGTTCCTATTGGCATATGTATTTTTTTTACAATCTCACAGTTTATCCACTGAAAGATGGGCACAAACTTAGAGGTCACTTCTGTCTGGAGTAATTTCACTCAGTAAAATGAGAATACTAGTAAGAATAAGAGTAGGGACATCTGAATTGGACACTGATGAGGCTTTGGTGCCCCACCAGTTCTGGATGGCTGTTAATTCTTTAGGAACATTCCCTTTTTTCCTCTCTAGGATACAGTGGCAGTAGATGACTCAGATACAGAACTTAGCGTGTGGCAGCTTCTTATGATTTCCTCCTCTGACCTAAATTCGTTTTTCATTCACGAAAGTAAAACTTACTGCCTCTCAACAGAAAGGCATCCATTACCCTCATATTACCACAAGCACAGAAAAGAAAGACTTCCTTTATGTGAGTATGGTTTGGTTGTGGTTTTGTTTTGGTTTTTCTTCTTCTTTTTTGAGCTGGTAACTAGCATCACTTATTTTTCTGTAATATCTTTTAAATAGGATTTGCTTTAGTGGTAGCGACTTCCTCTGTGTGTTCTCTCCATGAATGTTTTGGAACGTGCATTGCCAGCAAAATCACAATTCCTGATAACTACTGAAATAAAGTATGTTTTGAAAAACATAGATATTTATATAGGAAATGTGGTTCCAATAATTAACCTTAAGACATGGAACATAGTAAGGAGATGGAGATTTCCCTTTATTGGGTGTTCCCTATGTGTCCAGTTGAGACAAATAGGGAACCAAGCAAAAAAATTCCCCCTCCCAATCCCATGACAGCTCATATTTTGAATATCGGATATTCACCATACAGTGATGCTTTCAGTCCTCCTAAGTGGTTATATACAAAAACATGTTGGTAGCATAAAGCTTCTTCCCTCACTAATATGAATAACTTTGGGTTAGCTCTGAGAAGAAATCTCAGCTTTGGGACATTTTTAGCACATCTAACCTTTCCATATGCATTTATGAGTTTTTTCAACATTTATGAGTTTCTTCAACATTTTTTCAAGCTTTTAGCAGAATTAATATGTGATCTCAAATACTATTCTGAAAACTGGAAGTTTAGGCTCCCAGGTAAAGCATAGCACATATTAAGACTTAAACATTACAAAGACATACACTTTCAAACAAAGCTGTTTGGTACTGTTTGCTCCTTCACTTACCTGCCAAGACCTTAGTTCAGGCCCTTGGTCCTGCTTCCCCTGTTACAGCGTAGGAATGCAGCTCCTGTGCTGCTAAGGTGTTAGGGTGTCATCAACTGCTGCAGGAGAAACAACACATCCTGAACTCTGGGGTTGGCAGGTAAAAAGCTTTTCATCTCCTCTGACCTGTTGCTCATCACTCTTTAGAGGGAGCACCCAGGAAAGTGAATGGGAGTTCCGTATATAGGAGGAGAAAAAAAAGGGAACATCCACTTTCTGTCTTGTAATTTTTAAGTCCACACATGAAACTGCTTAGGGTCAGCTTGCATCTGTCCACAACACAAAGTTGGGATGAGGGAGTAGCAGGGAAGGCACAAAGCTTCTCTCTCTTCCTCCCTTCTTTGCAGTCCATAGGTAGAACTGCTTTTGTCTTGTCTGCTGGGTGCAAATAACTGAGTATCCTTTGATTTCATGGCAGAGTAACACCATGGAAGGAAGAAACAACATATGTAGGTTGGGAATATAATAGTGTTCACTCAAGTCAGTCCAAAAGGAAACGAAGTTGCCTGCTTTCTTTCCTCTATCACATGAGCCACAGCTAAACTTTACTGAGATAATTTACTTCTCAGGCAGCAGACATCTAAGGTTTGGATGCACAGTCTTACTGGAAGTAGAAAGTGACTCATCTGAAAATATATGGGACTCATCTCATCTATATGGGTAACTTAATTTGATGTCTAAGATCAAATGCTCTTTGTTTTGCTCATGCAAAATCTCTCCTAAACTTAGGAAAACCAACATGGGCCGATGAAGGTGGAATATAAGTAGTGAGTGGTGAGTAAGAAAGAGAAATACGAAAATGGACAAGAAAGTCCTGTTGACTTCAATGCACTTTTTTATTAAAGGACTAACAGATAGGCCCTATGCATTTTGATTTTCTGTAAGATTACACCTCAGTAAAAAGTTCAAATGGTGGGCCTACAGTGTGATGTGCAGTTTTCTGGTATCTATACCAGAGTGACAATGTGAGCTACACACTTGGCCATAATTCCTTCGCCTCACCATTCATATCTGGAGTTCAATGGTTGAAGTTAGTCAGTTACAAAACAGGGGAGACTCTAAAGAAAGAAGTGTTATACTTGGTTGGAATGATTTCTCAAGTTAGGGTATTGTATTTAAAACTGTGCTAAATTTATAATACATCTTGGCCTAAATTCTGTATTATGTTCCCAGTGACAAGCACTAGCACTATGTTTCAACTTTTATTTATCTACATCTGTCAAGCCTGAAGTTCTATTGGATACATTACTTTTGATATGTTTTTCCTGTGAAAGAAACCATCATTTTTATACAGAAGTACATTGAATTCAGACATGTTCTGTTTTCACTCAAGGAACTGGTTCATGTTCACTTAGAAAAAAAATATTTACACATTGGGGACTGCAAAGCTAATTTGAAAGCAGTCTTTAAATAACTCTGATCACAATAACAGATTGCTACCTTTTACCTCAAAATGACAATGCTGTGTTGCTATTTGCTATATTGCTATCTCCAGTTGAAAATACCCTATCTGTTCACATTTCTCTGTGGAATTTAAGCAGTCCTCAGCAGCAAAGGCACTTTGCATACCTGGAGTAGGTGTCCTTGATACATTATTCCATCATGAAAGCTAGCTGATTATGGCAGAATAATTATGCTGCATAGTGTAAAATTAAACAGAGTAAAAGTAACAGGATAAACAAAATTTTTTTAGTTAAGGCTTTAAGGAGAAGAAATTGCCGATACAACTTATCAAAAAGTAGTTAAACGTAAAGTATGATATTCTAGAGAGGTATCTGATGTAAATTAACATATAGGGTGCCATTTATTAGTTGGAGTATATCAGCAGGTATCTTTAAAATCTAGAGCTGGAAATTACCCATGATAAAAACACAATAAAACTAAATATACCTTGAAAAGAGAGAGTGTGGGGTGTCTAAAGGCAAAGTTTAAGTGGAAAGCACAAGCACTGGTTTGTTTTCTGTTCTTATGGAAGGTTTATTCTGCCTGCTTTTATGCTGGTTCTATTGTTCTAGAGAGTATAGTAAAAAGTACTCTAGTAAACCCAAGTGGCCTGACCTCAATGTGTCTTTCAAATATATTTTGGGTTTGACTTCTACAAAACCAATAATTTCTATAACTACTGCAACAGTATTATCACGAGTAATATCTGTTTGCAGTAAGTGCATTTCCATTTTGAAACTTCACAGAATTTATATGTAAAAATTTTAATGACCAGGGACTACTAGAAGAATACAAATTTGATAAATTACTCTGTGTAAGTTAAACTGTCCAAGTTCAGAAAACAGATCTTTATTTATTTAGCTATAATTTTTTATTTAGCTGTTCTATATAGCTATAATATATAGCCAACAATCATTTGGCTGTTAATATTCAGGTTCAGCAATTAAATAATTGTTCTGTTGAGTAATTACTTAGCTAAATCAGTATTACAGGGCACTGATGCATGGTAAGGTAAAAAAGCAAAGCTAATTGGATAAAATCATCATGAGAGTTGAACTTATTTAAGAGCAAAAATCTCACTGGCTCTTCCTCCAGATGTTTTCAGCCAGTGTTTTTAGCCTGTTTTTAAAGTTGCTTAGCATCCCTACTGCTGCACTTACCTTCTACTGCCATTAAAAACCTGAGAATTGTTTTGAGCTTGAACCTGATCTTTTATCCTCTGCATGTCCAGTAAACAAATAGTCTTTAATTGCTTTCAATAGCCATTCAATAGTCATTCAATAGCCTAAATAGTCATTCAATAGCCTAAATCTGGTGACTCTGACCAATTGCTGTTATCACTGTGGCCATTGTGACAGTTACTAAGATTACTAAGATTAATATTCTGCCCATGCGTGGCTAACACCAGTTACTCAGGTGTTTTCTCAGTTATGCACATCATATGTAGTATGCCTTCATATTAATTTGCAGTTACGTCTGCCACTGAAGACAATATGATAATTAAAACCTATTGCCTTAGTGGTGTCTTTTGTGCTGCTATGAAGATAAGAAGTCAAACGGGGACACTCTGAACTAGTTGCCATTCAGGAGATCTGTGCTCAAATCCTGCTTCTTGCCTGAAGTTTGTAGATGCCAGGCTCCGCAGGATGATGACTGCATTTTAGGCTGAACCTGTGTAAGTCACACAGTAGGGCCACAAGTCCCCCAGCCACCACTGAAACATCAAAACTTCCCGTATTCCAGCCCAAAAGCTACATGAAGTGAGTTGCACATATATAATCTAAAGGCATAATTTGGTTTTCAGATAAAAATCAATATTTAGTTAACATTCTCTGGATAACAGATGTTCTGAACATGTTTCTTTCACTGCTCTACCCTTTGAAAGAGTGTATCTCACTAGCACCACTCTTCACCCTATCCTACTCCTAAAAATTTTTATTATCATCAGATCAAGAGACAAAATATTTTTAGGTCAGAGGTCCAAAAGCCAAGAGGGATTTTTTTTTATGCTTGAGTCCAGCTTGCAGTGCAAGTGAGCTACAGGCAGGACTTCCATAACTTAAGTAATAGTGATTTAGTAGATGCAGATTAGGTGTATGTTTAAAAAACATCCCCTTCCAAAAAAAACCCAAACAAAGCAAAACCAAAGCAAAGCAAAGCAAAG